AGAGGAAGCTGGAGTTGCAGATCCCTTGCAGAAGGAGCTAGTTTCCTGGCCACTTCTGTCCCAAAGCCTTCACTGATTTCTGAGGAGTTCCAAGCCATTGACCTGAAGGCTTTGGGTCAGCAAGGGGCCAGAAAACTAGCTTTTTCAGCAAGTGAGCTGCAACTCCAGCTTCCCCTCCTCAACCACCACCGTGATGCTCAAGCCTCACTAAACAATAAAGAAGAACAAGGGAGTCAGACCAACCCGGTAAGCAGAGGCACCGGTCACTTTGTGTATAACTCAGGGCTGGACAAATCCCAGGAGCCAGGTTGCCAGTGGCACCTACCATTTAAGGTTTCCTCTAGCTATTGTCATGGATCTGGCTCTTGGATTGGACAGACTGGCTCCTGGATTCCACATTCATTGTAAACATTGTAGCCAGAAATAGTCAGTCACATAACATTTTCAAAAGAAGTTTCCAAGTGGCCAGAGAAGAGCTTTTCATCCCGAACGGCACCAGCCAATCGGAACACAATGGGAGTTGTATAAGAGCGCTGGAACGGAGTGTGCAACAATTTGGAAGAATTAAGGAAGATGGGAAGAGATCAAAACTTTTCCACTCGCATTGGCATGCACAAAAAAACCACTTGTGATATCTGTTAATCATCCTGCCATGGCACTGAGGACGCAGGAATTGGCCGACTCTAGCGCCTTTTGTTTTTTACGCTCCAGATGTCGCCCTGTTTACATGGAATACATACCGAGCGCTGTCCCAGGCCCAGAATAGAACCCAGCGTGAATATTTTTGGGCGAGCTGGCTCTCTGCAGCCGCGCTGGGACTTTGTACGAGGACTTTGTGTAACCGGTGCAGATTTGCTGTGCTGTTTTTCACTTGACTCATGCTCCAAAGATGCATATGCGGCGGACATGTGCTGTTAATTATTGCACAATTCGGAGCAAATGTCTCATTTCAGACCCGGAAGACGCATTTTAAAAAAAAATGTATGCCCTGGTGTGTTTTAATGTTGTGTTCAATTGTTAATGTACTTGTCGAGGAATATTATGTTCACTGACAAATCAGATTCACAGCTATGTTTTGGTGATAGGACGCTGGACGTCGCCTAAGTTTAAAGAGGAACTGTGGTCCAAACCAAAAACGTTCAATGGGTTCTAATAGCTGGCCATTGCATTAAAAAGCAATGGCTGCATGACATTTCTCAGAGCTGGCTTCCCGATGGTGACAACAGCGGACAATACCTGTGTGATGTGTGTGTGTTAGAACGGCCACTTGCAGTCTCCATCAACAGTCTGCGTACCAGAGTGACAATGCAGGAGCACAACTGGGGGACTGAGACAGAGCGTTGTCACCCTACTATAGGAAATGCCCAAAAGAGGACCTTTATGGCAGGATCATTGCGATTTTTTAGTGAACGTTGCAGATTTAAACACATAGAGGGGAATTTATGCAAAGTGGAGCAGGCAAAATCTGGAGCAGCTGTGCATGGCAACCAATCAGCTTCTCTCTTTCATTTTCAAATCTTAGAAGAGAACTATGGGGGTCAGTGTTTTTCCCCATAGTTCTCTACGGGTCACGGGAGGACATATACTAACCTCCTCCTGTGACCCAAAGCTCAGTATTTCGCGAGCTACAGCTCGCGGTATACTGAGACCGCCGCAGCCAGGACGGATCCCGACAATGCTGTCAGTGACAGCTGGCTCTGCCTATCTAGAGGCAGAACCAGCAGTGCCCGCCCCCTCCCCCGTCTGTTCCTCCAGTCAGCTCTGGAGGATCAGAGAGGGGAGTCACGGCTCTCTGCAGGGAGATGATCGAGAAGAGAGCGAGCGACGGTATGCGTTTTGCTCATTTCCCAATCTATTGAGCCGACGTGTGACACTTTCCTTGTTACACGTCGGCTAGAACTATGAGGATGAGTGAAAGTCACTCACCTCATAGTTCTTCTTTTAACTGAAGAGAGAAGCTGATTGGTTGTCATGCACAATTGCTTCAGATTTTGTCTGCTCCAGTTTTGATAAATTCCCTCCATATTGTCTTCTGTCATTAAAACAACTTCCTGTCAGCATAAAAAAAAAAGAAGATTTGAACAGGCACCACGTATAGGTAATCTTCAGAGTGAATCCATCGCCTGTGATGCAAGGTCAATGTTGTACGGTACTATGTACTATGAAGCAACGTACAATTTGCTTTCACTTTCTTGCTTCCAGTGCCGTTATTGCCGAGTAATCATCGTTGCAGATTTATTAGCGGCTCCTCAGCTCCTCTCTGAGTCTATAGCAGAAAGCTGCATGGAGTCACCAGGTCTAGCAATGTAGCATTCATTCATGGACTGACACTTGAATTTTCTTAAAGGAGAACTATGGGGTCAGTGTTTTTCCCCATAGTTCTCCTTGGGGTAACGGGAGGACACAAACTAGCGTCCTCCCGTCACCCTAAGCTCAGTATACCGCGAGCTACAGCTCGCGGTATACTGAGACGCCGCACCTGAAGCGGATCCCGACTTAGATGACGGGATCCGCCCAGCTGCGTGAGTGACAGCTGGC